TATATATATATATACAATTCAATTTTTATCATTTATAAGTTGTGAAATTCTAGGCTATATTATATCCAAAATATAAAACTCAAATTTTGTATATATAAGTGCTGTCACTCGATTAATCACATACAAAATAGAAAGTTTGTGTTTACATAATATATGTGTGGGTACTGTGTATATTTACATATTTACATGTGATTTAATACATTTGACAGCACATAGATAGATAGATAGATAGATAGATAGATAGTATAATACTATTGAAATTATTTATTTATTCTTTTTCCCCCCAAAGCTGGTGGCATCTGATGGCGTTCAACAGAGCAGACCCTTGACGGTGGACATCCTGGTCATCGATGCGAATGACAACACACCCACTTTCGGTCAGGTGTCCTACAGTGTGGAGATCTTCACTAACATGCTGCCCGGAGAGACTGTCCTGCAGGTGAGGGCACAGCACTACAGCTCAGAAACACTCACTTTACTCACCATGTATGAATCATTTATTCATAGCGGAGTGTTTGTTGAGAACTCTAAATGTGATTTGGAGTGTGAAATGAACTCGGCACTATGTTTGTTTCATTAATAACTGAAGAGTTTGGTATCGGGGCATTTTAACGAGTACGAGTACGAGTACATGAGACCAGTATCGGGCCCGGGTGCATCCCTATAAAAAATATAATAATAATACAATTAATAGTAATAATAATGATGATGATGAAAAATAAAAATACTTTGGCTAGTTGACAAGGCAGCATTTCTCATTTTCATTTAACTTCGTGTACTAAAATAACTAAAACTAACTGAAATCGATTAATAATAACTATATAGACATATTAAGTGGACAGGCCTGACGCTGGGCGAGACCTTGAGAAAAGCTGAGAAGAGGAAGGAATGGAAGGAGCTGGTTGCCAGAGCATCTGGTGAAGACATATTAAACAACTAATAAAAATGACAAAATTACTAAAATTAAAATCACTAAATTTAACTAAAATTACAATGAAAACAAAGATTGTAAAAGTTAACATTTATTAAAAACATTAATTTAAACGATAATAGTATGTCAGTTATACTAAAACAACACTGAAACTTACCTATTTTATTTTATATTATATTATATTTTTAATAAGAAGAAGAAGAATAAAAATGTTGTTGTTGATGGTGATGATGATTATGATGATGATGATGATGTTTTGTTGTCGTTGTTATTATTACTATTACTATTATCAGCATCATCAACATCATTATTTTTTTTGTCCTTCTTATTATTTAAACCTTGTGTGCATTAATTTTGTCATCATTTATTAATTCCATTATAGGGTGTTTGATCGGTCATATCAGTGGAAATAGATGGCATAAGCATTATTTTTCAGTCTAATTTATATTTAAAAATTAATTCCATAATTTTGCTATTCCAAATGAAAAGTTCTCCCACTGCCTGAACTGAAAATGCATATTTCAGCTATATAGCAGATGCCAAGCAACTGAAAGATCTCCAAGAATCAGCAGCCATACACTCCTTAAGGTCAAACCCAGAAAGTGGTCAGTAACAGCGAGTGTCTAATAATGGCACACTTGAGCGGTCAGCCTGCCTAGGGCTAATGAAAGTCCACCTGGATATAGACCAAACCACTCTGGAGATCCCACTGGCCTGGAGCTGTTCTCCAACGCAATGTTTACGTATGCAAAGCTCTCCTCTCCTGCTCAAACTGAGGAACCGCTGGGCTTTGATCCACATTTACTGCCACGATTCTCTGGGGGAAAAGCTCATGGAAATGCAAGCCGAGGAACAACGGAGTAACCTACGGCTGCTAGCTCAGCACTTTGAGTGCCTTTGAAAGGAGCGCAGTGGGAGACTCTGGACAAATGTTTGCTGTGGCAGTTTTAGCCGATAACATTTGTAAGCTGTTCTATAATACTGAGAATTTGTTGTATGAAGTGCCCACATGCTGTGCTATACGTCAGATGCAGATCAAATCAAATCAGCAGGTCTTTTCTAACGTAATACAAAGAAAAAAAAAATCTTGATTTCCAGTAAAATTGCAAAAGATATTTAAGAATAAATCATGAAGTTACTGTATATTGTCAAATTGTATATAATTATATTAATTATATCATATTTTTATATTGTAAGCATAAATTGCATAGTAGTTATATATATTTATACACATATATGTATATGTATGTATATATATATATATATATATATGTATATATATATTTGGAGTGTGAAATGAACTCGGCACTATGTTTGTTTCATTAATAACTGAAGATTCTAGTCAAATTATTGAATGTGACTCAACAGCTTCTGGGATTTTTTTTTCTGATGAAATATGTGAAAAATGCATTGAAAAATGAAGCAAACAGTCATTCAGCTAAATGAACACAAAGGAGCGCAGGCAATAAAGCAACTTTTTAAAGACGAACCAAATCATATGAACCGCAGCTAATGAACTGCAGTGAGTCATACTGCGATCTGTTTACATCTTTAACCAGACTTTCTGAACCCCATTCAAATGCCTAAATTATCATTTTTCTCCCCGGGGTGTCTTGTGAATAATTTGTATATATTTTTATGTTTACTTTTCAGTTGTTTTCTTCCAGTGTTGAGAAATAGCTTGCTTCTAAAAATTGCAACGTTTCTAATTTAACTGCATGTTTTAGTTGTCACAGTGCTTTCAACAATGCAGCTTTTCCAGTAACAAACTACTTTTTCAAAAAAAAAAGTAGCATGGGAAAATTATTATAAGTCTTTGCATATTTTTATTGTGAAATATTTCATGATTTAAGTGCAGCTGTCCATCAATATCTATCTAAGACAAATAATTGTCTTTTTTTAGTTTTAGTTTTATTAGTTGTATATTAGTGTAAATTAGAGGTTGAAGGTATACATTCATGAATATAGTATTCCCCAATTAATAGTTTGACTATATTTAGCTTTTCATCTTAGTAGCTTGTTGTGTAGCTAACTACTTTTTTAGCTTTTTAATTAAATTGCTTTAAATTATTCAGTTTCAAAGTAGCTTTCCCAACACTGATTTGTTCGGATGACCTGTCCATCTGTCGCTCTCATTCTGTCTTTTCCATTTGCAACATTTTGTGAGTGACAAAATACATCTAGGTACATCAGCACACTGAAGTTCAGTTCAGCAACTTGTTTAGTTTGATCTATAAACATAATGCAGCTTATTCTGCAATTTTAAGGTTGTGTATTTGGTCGTAAAACACAGTTGATGCTCCTGTAAATAACCAAACTCTGTTTGTATAGACTAGCATTAAGCTCTCAGGAGACAAATGACAGCTATTTTCATCTGCATTGTGAAAGTGGCTTGTGTAGACAATGGTGGGCTGACAAAAAGTGGGACAAAATGATATAAAGCGAACATAATGTGTGCTTTTCTGTCCCTCAGGCTATGGCATATTCACTCTCTCTCAGTAACGATTCTCTCAGCTTTATTTTGGCACTCTGCTCATGTTCTGCTCCGCCTGTGTTTGTCTCATTCCGTCACGGCTGGGTCACGATTCAAAGGAAAATCAGTCGCATAAAGGCCTGTAGTTTCTCTTGAAATAACAAGCCGCTCGGATCCTGCTTTTTCCTTACCTCAGCACTCCAAGCAGCTAAAGGCACGGCGGTACGGATCAGTGCTTCTAGAGAGTTTTCTCAATAATGAGAGCCGTGGATGGAGGTGGCGCTTTCTTATTAGCAGGACTTTTAATTAATTACCCTTAGGGTGTATTTATTGCCCTGGTGCTTTTAAAGACGATAACGTTCGGAGTTAAGTGTTTACATCTAAATGCACGTCTTTGAACTTAATCAAAAGTGTTTAGTCTTTGATCTGTACCTTTGTGTTTGAGAATTTATCCTGAATAATCATATTATGCTGCTTTTAAACCTCATTAATAAGGAGAGTCTTATCTGCATTTTAATAAGGATGGATGAATGGATTTTCTGTTATGTTTGATTTAAAGTAATGAGTGTTGATTTTAAAGAAAGTAAAAATTCAGTGAGTAGAACTAAGACCTCATCTGTAAATATTATGAGAAAACACAATTTAAATATTATGAAAAATGTACTAGGCTTTTGAGCATGGTACCATGGTGCCACCATGTTTTTTAAGCCATGCATTATATGAGTACCATGGTATTCAATAAAGTGTACTACCAGTTAAACAGTACATGTTTCACCATCTGAAAATATTAAACACAATTTGATAGAAAGACTTAAATGCCTGAAATTATAAATAAATAAAAAGGACATTATTTTTTCCTGGAAAAGCCATTCATATTAAGAAAATACACACAATTGCCATGAAAATGGTATGAAAAATTGTATGTTAATATTTTTATGTGTATAATATTATTTATAATATTATTTTAATATATGTTTTTATTATTTTTTGTAGTTTTTTCTTTTTTTTTCTATTAATTATCTCTATACATTGATTTTTAATTGAATGATTTGAATGAGATCCCTTAACTTAACTTAAAAAATCCCTAAACTTAATTCTGATCAAATTATGAGTCAACACAGACTAATACAATTCTATAAATATATATTTATGCATATATAATATTGATATTCTAATATATTTAATTATATAATGTGTATTTAATATAATATTTTATGTAATATAATATATTTAAATTTTTTAAGTCATTATTTTTTTATTGTTGTTCTAAACAATTTCATTGATTTGAAATTGCTTTTTGTGTGTGCATTCTCTTTAAAATAAGTTAACACAAAGATATTAAAAACCAAAATATATTCAATTCCAAGTACATTACCATAGCACTTTTTGGAAGGGTAATGAAGATCAGTGTGAAACAAATTAATGTGACTTAAAGGAGACATATTATGCCCCTTTTTACAATATGTAATATAAGTCTCTGGTGTCCCCAGAATGTGTATATGAAGTTATATCTCAAAATACCCCACAGATAATGTTTTATAGCTTGTTGAAATTGCCACTTTTAGGGTATGAGCTAAAGGCTAAAACGCACTATTTTTTGTGTTTGTCCCCTTTAAATGCAAATGAGCTGGTGCTCCTGCCTCCCTTTTCAGAAGAGTGAGGAGCTTCAAGAGCTCATGCTCCGGGCATACCGGTGTTACGGTTTAACTGGTGGTGACCGTGTTACTGACCTAACATTGCTTCCAAATGCAATTTTTAACTACCAAATTCCTATTTACGATCATTCTGGTAGCACGTGAAGGCAGCATTAGTGAAAACAGGCAGAGACAATGGTAGCTTTAGCAACATTAGCCTTACAGAGAGCCAAGAAGCTCTTTTGGAAAACAAAATACAACATGTGATGCTTACTTTGTCTGGAGCTGACGTTCGCGTGCGAAGCGTTGGTATCGATCCCTCTTTCAGAAGAAATCTTTGTCAAACTCCAGCGCTGAACTGACCCTTGTTTGAAATGCAAATGAGCTGCTGCTCCCCGCCCCCTTTTTCAAAATAGAGCTGTGCCATTACAGCTCGGACCTACTAAAAACATCTGTTATGGTTCTGATCATGTTTATCGCGCTGAAATCATGCAGTTTAAACCATATGAGTTTAAACTTCTGATATACGGTTTTCTGAGAGCACACATCCGAAGCACACGGACAGAAAGTGGCTGTCACAGCATGTGAGTACTAAACTAAGTTCTCATTCACACACAAGTTCACGTTAAAAACACACGAGTTACAAAAACAGTTGGTTATGTCTGCGAAGGTAAACTGCTGGGAAATAAATTGCATGTTTATTTTAGATCTAAATAGTGTTCTGTGCTCGTCTGTGCAGACAAAGGCAGAACAGTTAGTATGTTTTGCTCAAACCTTCGCCATGGCATTAGAGCTGGTACACCTTTGTCGCTTGCGAAATCAAAATGACAGAGCCTTGGGTGGAAATTTACAGATTAAGGGGCGGTAATATTATAATGAGATCCCTTTGCCACGTCACCAAGGGAGCGAAATCAGACGCGCTCGTTTTCTCAGACGCTTGCAGAAAAAGGCTTACCAAAACAAAGTTACTGGGTTAATCTTTTTCACGTTTCCTTGGTTGGTAGATGCACCAAGGACCTGATTATAGCACTTAAAACCTGGAAAAGTCAGATTTTCATGATATGTCACCTTTAAAATAATACTGTCCCTGTTTGTTCTGTCAGCTGACGGCTCAGGACGCTGACGCTGGTTTAAACGGCCTCATCACATACGCCATCCTGGCTGGAGATCAAGATGATTTCATCATCAACAACCGCACAGGACGAATCACGTTAGCACCAGGGGTCACACTGACCGTCGGCCGTTCCTACGCACTGACCGTGAGAGCGTCAGACAACGCTCCTGACACAGAGAGGAGGTCAGATGTGACTTCATTGCATCAGTTACATCTCTGAGTGTTTGCTTGTGTCTTTGGTCTTTTATTTTCTTTGTCACTATGCGTATAGGAGCTCCATAACTACAGTCTACATAGAGGTTCTGCCACCTAACAATCAGAGTCCACCACGATTCCCCCTGCAGACCTACAACCTGGAGATCAGCGAGGCCATGAGGATAGGAGCCATACTGCTGAATCTGCAGGTACACACACAGATTTTACTTGGAATGGAATATTAACCTACCGTTTACTGCATACTATACAATATACTCTAAAAACTGCCAACTTTTTAAACAGTATTTAAACATGGTCATGCAAAACATGTCATAAAAATATCTGGAAATTTTAAAATACTCCGTTCTGGACATGGACATTTTTAATGTAATAATCAATGTAATAATAATTATATTAATCATATAATAATAATTATATATAATTATATAATAAATAATAATATAGATATATGAATAATATAAATATGTTATATATTATATAATATAATATAACAACTATATAATAACATAATAATTATATAACATAATAATATTTTATATAATATATTTTAATATTTTTAGTCATGATTTCTTCATTTTTAAATCATTATTATTGTTCTTAATGGACTTTAAATTTGTATTTGTGTGTGCAATCTCTATTAAATGATTTGCAGAAATTCTTATCCAGTAATCACAAATGACTGAAAAATTCTTGAACAATTCATGGGTCAATAGGTGTTGGAAGCCTGGTCTTAAGCCTTTGAAGTCTGATCAAATTATGAATAAAAATTTTTTTTTAAAGATGTTGGCAGATACACTGAAAATAGAAGGTCAAGTTGAATGCATTGCATTGTGGGATGCAGTATCCCACACAGTATGCCCTTTTGTATGTTGCACATTTTGATAAATGTAGTAGGTCATCTGGGTATTCTGTGCATGCAAAAAATTTGCATACTACTGAATGCACAGTAAAGATACTGATAAAGTGGAGTGTGTAGTTAGCCATTAGCCACATATATACAGTCATTTCTTTTTTCATAAGATAATATGAAA